AGAGTTTATTTTAATTTTTAACAATGTTATGTTTTTTGTTAAAGGAGATAACAATAAATGCTGGGTAAGATATTACAACAGCTGGCTTATGGAGTCAGCTCTGCTTCTTAGTAATTCTGTGATTTGGATGAATTGAATGAAGCTTTAAATTTATCTTTGCATCAGGAAAAAAACAAGTCTTCATACCTCAGAAAGCTTCTCTCCAACTAAAAATGCGGTTACATATGGAAAAGTGCATCATAATATCAAAACAGAAGTTATTAAATAGTAGCTTATCAACAAAATAATTTAAGTCATTGTAGCCTATGGTCTAGCTGATAAAGATATGAAATAAACAAATCTCTTTGATTTGTTAGTACTAAAGAATTTAGCCCTTTTACATTTTTACATAAATCTTTTTATTTTGGAATTGCTTTAGAACTACAGAATATTTATGAAGGGAGTACAGAGTCCACATAACCCACATCTAGTTTCTCCTATGAATAACTACTTGTACTGTTATTTATACTCACCACAATTAGTGAATCAATGTAGGTTATTTTGAGCTGAAGTCTGTACTTTATTAAGACTTCATTAGCTTTTAGCTAATGTCTTTCTTGTGGTTTGAAGCCCAAAATGAGTTTTGCCACATACTCCAACCCTTTTGTTTTGTATTTTGTTTTTGAGATAAGATCTTGCTGACTTTTGTCCAAGGTTGCAATCCAACTCACCTTCCTCCTGCCTCTGCCTCCCAATTAGCACAGATTACAGACATGAGTCACCTCGTCTGGCTTAGTTAATGTCCTTCTAATATTCCACAATGCCATTTGGGATATCGCATATCACATTCATGGCTACTTCACATTATTTTTGCTGTGATGTTTCTCCCAAGTTTTCCATATTTTTGATTTCCATAGAGTTTTGATGAGCACCACTCACACCACGTGTGCAGTTCACATGTAAGTGAGGCATATTCTACCTCTTCAGGAGGTGAGTATCTACATATTTTATTTGGAATGATTCTGGATGGGATATTTGTCTATACCCTCTGCTTACTGTTTGTACTATGATTTATTTATATCAGTGCACATGGATATATATTTCATATTTTTATATAAGTTGACAATTTTTATTTGTTGCTTAAATTGCTCCAGTTTCATCTTTAAGAATTCTTTCAGTTGATGCTGTGTCTCTTTGACATGTAGCATAATTGTTTTGTTTTATTCTTGAGCAATCCTTGTTTTCAAGCATAAGAAGATGCTCCAATTTTATTTTGTTTATTTCCTGTACAAAACATGTATTTCATATGCACACATTATGTTTTAGGAATATAAGCTCTTGCAATTTCATTATGCATTTGACCTCAGGAAGGTGATGCTATGAAGTAAACTCACTTTTACATCATGAGTGTTAATCAGTTTGTGACAGTGGTTATGATATTATGCTTGACATATCATTTAATAGAACACTTAATGAAAAAAAAGAGAAAAAGACACAGAACATAAATGATCATTCAATCTTATGAAGATTTATACAAAAATGTGTGACACAAAAAAATGGTAAATCATGTTATCTGGTGTCCAATTGACAGTTACCAAGCATGCAAAGAAGCATGGAATTAATACCTATAATAGGGCAAAAAGTAAATCAATCAAAACTAATCCACCAATGACAGATGATAGAATCACCAGGCAAGGACATTGAAATGGTTAGTATAACTCTATTATTGTGTTTAAAAAGTAAAAAGAAAATCTGTTCGTGTTAAATGAGACATTAATATGTTAATGGAAGATATAAATAAAAACCAGTCAAACTTACAGGAATGAAAACTACAGTGACTGGGGTAGAAACTACAATAAATGGTATCAGCAGAGACTTCTAAAGAAAATATTATTAAATTGGAAGACAAAGAAACAAGAACTATCCTAAATGCAGAGAGAAAAGATACTAAATAAATAAATATGAGCCAATAAGTTGATCTATTGCAGTTCCAAGTGTATTGTCACAAATTCATGATATAAAGTCACAAATTCATGGAGATAGGGCTAGAATGAAAGTTGGAATTGCCATCTTGTTGCTTGTACTCTTTTTGGGAACATTGGTCCTGTGTTTTTACTGCTTCTGCTATCACTGTCTCATTCACCGTCCTTTGAGAAGCTCTGTGCAGTTCCTCACTGTTTTGCAAAAATGAATTAATACAATCACTGCAAAGATTGTTCAAATAATGCAGTCATATAACAATGCACATAGAACAGGCCTTTTCCATACCAGCTCCTCTGGTCTTTTTCTCATCTTTTTCATTTCAATTGATTGTGGGAGTTCCAAAACTCTCATTCTCTAAAAGAAAGAAATTTAACTTTCTTCAAATATTACTCCCAAACTTATATATCTGTACCAATCAATGTGCTCAAAATAACTAATCGATCTCTTTAACTCATGGCCTCATCATTAGAAAGCAGTGAGGACCATGAATAGCTTTTTCTGTTATATTTGTGCGGGCTCAAGGGAGAGATAATAATATTTCTATTCTTTTGAGTCTTAGGACATTTTTCCCCACACAGGTACTTTAAATAGAGCATGTCAAAGGTAAGTCACCACTAATATTTTTTGATGAAATATGGACTTGCAAGTGAATAACAAAAGAGAAAAAAACATGTTTACCATGATTCCCAATTAGTTATGCCATGGGTACCCAATAATGGAGATATAGCCACGGAGAATAACAATCTGGAATATTCTCCACCCACTAACACAATAGCACAATCCCAGTTAGCTATGGATAAATTTAAAGGATATATATCCACATTAATCACAGAAACAATTGAATTTATATGGGTATCTGAGAATGTATGTATTTTGAGAGTCATATATCATTAGAAAATATCACTTTGAAGAATTAGAAAATATGTGTTGCCTTTCATAGCCATTTTTAGTTTAATTGATCAGTTGAATATTTTTAAAGATCTCCAAGTTCCAATGTAAGGAAGATAATGTGTGTTGTTAGTTCTAACAAACAACTCCCTATACAATAAAGAGAATTATAACCTGACTCACTCAGTTTTTAATTTACCCATAGATCATAAAATGGGATTATAGTGCTACTAATATTACAGGGATTCATGTAAATGACTGTTGAAATATATACATAGAACAGCTGCATACTCAATGCCAGTGTAGAAATTCTCTGATATTTCAAGTAGGAAGGATGCTTATTCAGTTATTAAATTCCCATGAGTGAGCAATAGAAGACGTTTGGAATTTCTAGCAGGAAAAGTCAGGTACTTGTGTGCTCTTAGCTAAGCTCTACCTTGGCAGTGATTGCTGCACACTTGTATCCTAGGCAGACTGACCTCAAAACAGACTTCACTGAGAGTGTGCTGGGTGTATAATGGTACAGCCCTTTTCCATATATTTTTTATTTATCCTTGAAGATACTGATGAGATAATGTATTGTGCTGAATTTCCATTTGCAAAAAATTGAAGTTTAGAATGTTCTGGCTATATTTTTTCTGGCCACAAATGTCAGCTCTTGTTGCTTCAAAATTTACAAAGAGAGCTGGGACAAGAAAATTACACAGAAGATCTATTATTTTCCTACTTTAATATGTCCCACCAAAAGCATGTTTCCAGATACACAATGATATAGTCTCCATAAATGAAACCCCTCAAGGAACTCATATAAGTCTGTTTATCTACGTGATGTATCAATGGTGGAGATCCAGCTATGGGGAATAACAATTCAGAATATTCTCTATCCAGTCACACAACAGCAAAATTGCACTGTTGATTATTGATAAAGGATAAACCCTCACTGATCATGGAAACACTTGAATTTTTTGTGTATCTGAGAGCACAATTGATTTGAGGGTCACACAGAGATTGTGTTATACAGTTTAACATATAACTGAATTAAAATCATGCTTCCCTCTGTTTGACCAAAAAGCCTAGAAATTTCTACTTCCTTTCCATGTATAAATGCATTATGATTCTAAGCAATCAACAAGCTTCAGAAAATGCTCAATTATCAATTAAGTTTTTCTCAGTTAAATAATAGGGAAATATGAACTATTTCCAGAGCTTTTTTATGTTTAGGAAGACACGCTTTGGAAAATAATAATATGAAAACTAGCAATAAACGCATCACTCTCTTTATATTTTCAATTTCACCTTGAAATTTATGTAGTTAATGATCCAAGGACATAAAGTCTTGTTTTTATATACCATCTGTCAACATGTGTGTGCTAACACCTTCAATTTCATTCTAATAAAAGATAAAACAGTGACACATGCACTCATTGGGTGTGGATTTTGGCAAAACTTAACAAGGTTTTTCAGGTCACCATTCTTCACTGGGAAAGACATACTTGAAAATGATATCCATGTCAATTAGATTTTGAATTTAGGTTATATCCCCAAAACTGAAAAAACAAAGTTGGCTTCCCAAACCAAGCAATTTTTACATTTACCACTTCTAAAATGTTATTAAGATTTTTAAGTACTTGTATATATATATATATATATATATACATACATACATATATAGACACATACATGTACATATACATATATACACACATATATACATATACATATATATATGTATATATATATATATGGTTTTATGAATGAAAGTGGCCATACATAAATTCTCACAAACTGGGTTTTTAATAACTTCAAAAATCAGGAAGACTGACAAAGGAATACAACTTCTAACAAAGCACTTGACTTATAGTGGAAGAAATATTGAACAGGGAAGACTTGATTAACATTGGAATGACAGTTATTTTAAGGATGTTATATTGATGCTGTGTCTTTTATGGGGTAGTAGGAGTACTGCTTGGTAGGCAACTAAATAATAATAAGATGCTATGTAAATGGTTCTAAAATATGAGCAGAGGGATGGACTATAGAGAGAACCAACACCCAGCAGCTAGAGTATATAAAGAAGTCCAGAAGGTCACAAGTACACTTTGGATCCTGCTGTCTGCAACTTAATCAAGATCTAACCTTCCAACTCCACCATGTCTGACAACAATTGCTGCTCTGAAACCTACAGCTCTCCCTTCCTCAGGAATTCATGTTGTCTTCCTGTCACCTCACCCAGTGCCCTCCACTCCACTGAGGTCAGCTGTGGAGATGCTCCCTGTTCTCCTAGTAGCAACCTGGTCAGCATCAGCAACACAGTCCATGATAACTGCCATGGGCCTTGCAGTGAACACACAATCCAATCAACCAGCTGTGAAAGGGTTGCTTGTAACCCTTCCGTTTGCTCTCCGATTGTTTCCGGGGTGTCTGGATCCCATCAAGAAAGTAGCTGTTTTCCTATCACGTCCTGTGGTTCTAGTCTCTCTCGTCTAGCATTCTGTAGACAACCATTGAGGTGCCACCTTTCAAGTTACCAGTCCTATGGTTATCAACCCCTGGGCTACCTGACCTACGGAGGTCAACCACTGAGCTACCTTTCCTATGATCGTCAACTACTGAGATACCACTCCTATGGATGCCAGCCTCCTACCTGCACGTCTGACTACTACAGACCTTTGAACTATACATGCAGCAATTTTCAACCATACTCCTCTTCCTTGAGCTACTGGTAGTTTCCTTATTCAAGAAAAACATCATGAATAGCTGGAAAGAACCTACTACTTGCTAGCTTTAAGAGATCACTCAGCTTCCCGTCAGTGGTTCTTATTCTACAGGGCTGGGTTATGGCTTTTATTTCCGAAATACATCTCTTTACTGAAACTTTACCTTAAGAGTTATCATTTACTTTTATGTTTTAAAAACTTTGATGCTTTACAACTTGAAATGTATTTTTCCTCTATTTTCTGCCTAATAAAATCACACCTTGGCATATAAATCATACCTATCATGTGTCATCATTTAGAAATACTATACTTTATGGCTAGTTATTGGAAAATATCAGTCACTTTATACATTGATGATGTTTGGGCCCTGGATTAAATGTGGAGAATATTTTGGTTTCTATAAGTTAAATATTATGTATAGAAGTGTCCTATGAAACTAATATGAATGTATGTGGGACAATATGATTGACTGTCAAAGTGTTCATGCATTAGGTGGCTGTTTTGGGGATTTGCCACTAACATCCTACACCTCTCAAGGGAGCAGTGCATTGCAGCAGAGCATGAACCTCAAAGTCTTGGACTTTCTCTCCACAAGATAAACTGCTAAACTGCTAAACATCCAGCTATCTTTGGCATAAGGACTTACCTAAGATGGAATTGATTTTAAAAAGAAAAAGAAAAAAGGAAGAAAAGAAAATCTCTATTCACTACCACATTACATATAAGGCTCTGACCTCTAGTTGAGAAAATTATTCAACTTTATTTGTTTTCCAAAGCTCAGATATTTATTGTTCTTTCTTTGGTATATGGAATTTCATATGTATTCAGTGTTGTTTTCAACTTCCACGGTAACTATAGGAGTACAGCTTTATTTCCTAAAATTGTTGTTTTTCAAATTCCAGTTTCTCAGTTGTTCATTTCAACTTAAAACTGCTATGTTTCATTAATATGGCCATTGGACAAATAAACTTGATGTCTATAACCAGGAACTATGACTTGATTTTGATCTATACTGACATGTATTTACCATTGTATAGCATAGTTCTCTATGCTATAACATGTGACAGACACTTCTTATACATTGCCACATTAAGTGTTGTCATCTCTTGTACCAAAATTTCCATAATGTTTTTATAAATAATACTTGGGTTCAGAAAAATTAAATAATTTCCACGATAATACACACATACATATGTAGGCATCTATAAATATGTATGTATGTATACATGTATGTATGCATGTATGTACCTATCTATGTACAGTTTCAGGGCAAAATTGAAATTCAAATCCACATTTGTCTTAAAAACTATGCACTGTTTTTCAGTCATCTACTTGATTTTCAAATACTTCAGATCTGCTATTCATCAGCCTCTGATGGAAAATTATATGTATAAAAAAAACCACCATCTATTCTATGTATCTGCTTCTTGACATTTGATAGAACATAACTCTAATCTTTCTCAGGAATTGAAAAGTAGTTATTGTTACCTCTGTCTTGCTGGTAAAGAAACAAGGCCAGTGAGATAAACCCTCTTGCCCAAGATCTCATTACTAGTAAGTGAGACAGTACAAATTTGAATTCAAAGCTGCATTATTTATCTTCTTATACACAGCTGAATGCTAACATTATGCCACTGACAGAGTTTGATACACCAGTGAATTCTAATTATGTTGCTAGTTCTCAGAGAGAAAAACAAAGAGTACAGGAAGAAAAGTCAAATAGTAACAGTACTGAGGATCGAAAATGCTACATAATTGGATGGCTCACTGTCTATAGGAACAGTAAACATGCTTTATTAACAGAGAAAATATGTCTGTAATTTTATCATCTATTCATTTTGAATTGATCCTTTCCATTCACTGTACAAAATACAAGCTGATATAAGAAAATATATGTCACTAGATATATTCAGGGAGGTTCATAGACAGATATATACATATATAGATTGCTTTTTATTATAAACACCTTTCAATTTTTTGTAACATCATTGCTACATTTAAAAAATATTTGTTGAGTACTATGTGAACTGCACCATTCTATGTAATATGATATAGCATTGCACAAACAGAACTGACTCCTGCACTCATGGAACATGACATTTGGTAAAGCAGATAACCAATAAACAGAAAAACACACAATTTATAATTATAACTCACATTAGGTATTTTGAATGGAATAAATTGAGTTCATTTATACGGAATATAAAAGTTGGGTATGAGCGGCTGCCCATGATGTAGAATAGACTATCACATTCTCTCTGAGAAGTGACATCTTTCCTAACTGATGGATGAACACAAGCCAAGTGGACAAAGAGCAGGAGGAGCATGGAACAAGGATAGGAAACTGAATGTACTAGGACCAGTGTTTACAAAAAAAACTCAGTAAATTCAAGAAATTGAAAGGCAATTTATTGGCTATAGTGGTGAGTAACAGGGTAGAGCAGAGTGAGATGAAGTTGTAGAGGTAGTCAAGCACAAGATTATGCAGAATCTCAGGCTATATGCTTTTCATTTCATTTATAATAACAACAGGTGGTAACAATTTAAATGAGAGAATAATATTGTGCCTTATAAAAATATTTTTCTAGACTTCCAGTTTCTGGACCAACACATAGTTTAGAAGCCATCTCTGTAGAGCAATATAACATGAGCAATTATAAGATTGGAACAAATAACAAATATATGATAAGACTACAACAGAAGAGACAAAAAGAACATAAGAAATTTGTAGAGTAATAATGGCTGAAAATTTCCAAAAATTAATGAAAGATGATAAGAAACACAAATCCAAGAAGTACAGAAAATACCAGTTAGGATAAATTAAAAAAAAATCTATACTGCGTGTATCAAACTCAACCTACAGAAAAATCAAAGAAAATAGAAAATCTTAAAAGAGGCCAAAGAAAAACATCATGTCCATAGAGGAACAAGAATAATAATTGCATCAGCTGTCTCTTCAGACATGATGCACACAGTCTGGCTGCAGTGAAATTATCCTTTAAAATGAAGGGAAAAATAAACTTTCTCAGACAAACAAAAAATGAGAGAATTCGATGCCAGTAAATCTTCCTTGTAAGAAATGCTAAAAGAAATCATTTGGAAGAAAGGAAAATGACATAAGTAAGAAATTGAGATCTACAGAAAGTAAAGGAGATTGTTAGAGAAGAAATAAAGCATGCATTACTCTGATCAAGTGCAAGGAGCAGATTGGAATGGTAAAGAGTGAATCCAATAGGTAAACTGTGTGGTTCTTGAGAATGATGAGGTTGGAAGGACCTCATCATGAAATAGCCTGAATTAAAAGTGGCAAATGCATTAGGCAGCAGTAAGAAATTTGGTATTGTTTGCTGTTGGTTAGTGGTAAATAAGGGCAATAAAAGAATCAAGATCAATATTCTCACTTCTGCCTTGAAAAACAAGGCAGGTAAATTTCAACTTATGTAGCTAGGGAAATAGATGAGAGAAAATGCTGAATGATGAAATCAAGAATTCCATTTTAGTTATTAAATTTGACTGGCTAATATAAAAGGAAAAAAATTTGAAGGAGATATACAACATAGGCAAGTGAAAATAAAAAAATCTTGTCCTAATATTTTAATAAGTTAATTTTATTCATCCAACATTCAAAAATATTTGTTATGGTATTTTTGTTGAAACAACCAAAAATAAGTGAATTTATTTGAATAAGGCATAGCCTCTGGTCTCAGTATGCCAAAGTTTTGTAAGCTAGAGAGGTGTTAAGCAAATAGGTTCAATACCACATATAAATACATTAATTGATTCGTGAATAAATTTCTATAAAGGAAAGAAAAATAAAGAAGGGAAGAAAATGGAAAAAAAATGACAGTACAACATCCTGATATGGCTTTTGGATGATATTATTTGTCTACTTATAAATTAGAATTATCTGGTGTTTTGAATGGGATGATGCATTGGATGATGTCATTAAATATTTAAATGAGCATTGGTTGTTCTAGGCCAGGCTGGCACACATATGACAAGAACAAAGAAATTCCAAATAACCCTGTTGGAACCAGTATGAAAAAAGCAAGCATACTTCTAAGAAAGAATGAGTGAAGAACTGACAAATGGTCTCCTTCCCAACTTCTGTACACAACCTAGAGAATTAACACACATGAACATGACTTCTAAATCCTATATTTATGAAAGCAGAGTTATTGTTTGTATCTTAAGCATTCCCCAAAGGCGAATGTGTTAAAGGCTTAGTACAAAGCTTAGCACTATTAGAAGGTGATAAAACCACTAAGAGGTGAAGTCTAATGGAAGGTCTTCAAGTTTGGGGGAGTTTGTCCTTGAAGGGTACAATAGAACTTCAACCTCTTCTTCTTCTCTGTTTCACTTCTTGGCCAGGAGGTAAGTGGTTTTACTCTGCTATGTACTCCCTTCCATATGTGTTGCCTCACTACAAGCCCAAAAGCAGTGGACCCACATACCATGAACTGAAATCTCTAAAACTGTGAGCCAACATAAACTTTTTCACTTTATAAATTGGTTATCTTGGGTATTTGTTATAGTGATAGAAAGCTAAGACAGAAGAGTATTGAATAGAAATGTCGTGTGCAAAGTATCAGAGAGTAAATAAAGAGGGATGTAGGAAATTTTGAATGTATAAATAAAACTGAAATGTTGGGGATTCTGGAAGAGGATAATCAAGAATCTGAAACACATGTTGGTGCCAGATACTGGTGATCCTGTGACTCCTGTTCAAAAGCATAGCCTTAATCATTTAGGGAGTAGGGAGTCATGGAAATCTTTGTTTACATGGAAATTTTAAAAAAAATAGGAAGGATAGATGATGACTTCTGAACTCTAAATAAAATTTAGATTGTTAACTATTATGTGAGAATGAAATATCATTAACTCTAGGGATGACTTTCATTATTTTATGTTAATTTCATTCTACCTTCCTCCAATTATCTTCAATAAAGCATATAAATTCCCAGAAGTTTTTTTCTTTTATTATTTCAGAAAATTTAGCCAGTCAACTA